CTCAGTTTGAATATATCTATCTATCTATCTATCTATCTATCTATCTGTCAGTCTCTTCATATTTATCAATGTATCTATTTATCTACCTCAGTTTGAATCTATCTATCTATCTATCTATCTATCTATCTATCTATCTATCTATCTATTTATCTATCTGTCAGTCTCTTCATATTTATCAATGTATGTTCATTATACATCATTTATCTATTTATGTCTGGGAAAATAATATATGGATTTATTAAACTTAACAATAAATCTTCTTTTTCTGTGAGCTGTATCGCTTCAGCACGTTGGCGATCATGGCCCGCCACGATTTCGTGTCCTCTGTAGCTCTTAATATATTTTGACTTTTTCAAATTTCTCCTAACCTTGATTTGCGCCATCCATTCACCAAAAATAGCTAGGTAGAATATGAGTTGTTTTCCTCTGAGAGTGTCATATTCTCCAAGCCCTCTTTCCCCATCATGTACCCTAGAAATTTCCGCTGTCTTTTTCTGATGAAGAGAATTTGAAATGTGATCACGAATTTAGTCGAATTTTATACACCGAATGGAATTATCATATATATATTACATATGGTGATATCTAAGCGTACCTTCGATGTGGTACAAGGCCGAATGTGCGAAATTATGGCGCAATTAGTGAGAATCGAACTCACTACTCAGTCGTATTTGATCTCACGAGACAAGCTTGCCAACAATTACACCACGGTGAGGTGAAACGGATATATTGTAATGGTTATAAATATATTATTTCGTAAACAGAAGAAATTGATAGGACTCGCTTACTTTAAATTCATAGACGGCTAAATTTACACTGGAATCGGATTTCAAAAGTAAAATTAATTTCGAAAATTATTTTAATACACCTACACAACATATATAAGAGAAACTGATGAATAGAAAAAAAATGATACTATCTATCTGTCTGTCTGTCTATCTATCTATCTCATTTTGAAGCTATCTATCTCGCCTTGAATCTATCTATCTATCAGTCTGTTTATGTTTATCAATGTATCTATCTATCTGTCTATCTATCTATCTATCTCAGTCAGAATCTATCTATCTATCTATCTATCTATCTATCTATCTATCTATCAGTCTGTTCATGTTTATCAATGTATCTATCGATCTCAGTCAGAATCTATCTATCTATCTATGTATCTATCAGTTTGTTTATGTTTATCAATGTATCTATCTATCTATCTATCTATCGATCTCAGTCAGAATCTATCTATCTATCTATCTATCTATCTATCGATCTATCTATCTATCAGTCTGTTCTTATTTATTAATGCATCTATCTCAGTTTGATTCTATCTATCTATCTGTTCGTATTTATCAATGTATCTATCTATCCAAGTTTGAATCTCTCTCTCTCTCTCTATATATATATATATATATATATATATATATATGGGAAAGCGGTACATGATTTTATCAAATGTTGACATATAAACTGTTACAAACACTTAGAAAACAATCCTTCTCTGCGTGTTGCGTCCATTCGGGATGTTATCGATCAAGGCTCTCCGCCATTTCCTGACCATTGTAGTTATTAATAAATGTTTTTTTTTTTTTTTTGCCAACTCTTCTAAATCCTGATTCCTCATCCATTTATGGAAGTAGGTTAATGCGTTACTTTAATCAGGCCAGAGAAACTAATGCCTACTTATAAATCGATCATTTGATAAACAGGTGAAATTGATAGGTCTCTACCTTCAGCTTAATAGCCGGTGAAATTTATACTAGAATTACATTACAAAAATGAAATGTATTGCGAAAATTGTTTTTATAAACCTACAAAACATATATGAGATACATTGACGAATAGAAAGAAGGCATATGATTCTATCTATCTATCTATCTATCTATCTATCTATCTATCTATCTCAGTTATTTTTGTATCTATCTATCTATCTATCTATCTATCTTATCTTTCTATCTATTATCTTTCTATCTATCTATCTATCTATCTATCTATCTATCTATATATATATATATATATATATATATATATATATATATATCAGTCTTTTCATTATCTATCTATCTATCTCGGTTTTTCATTATCTATCTATCTATCTATCTATCTATCTATATATATATATATATATATATATATATATATCATTTCATTATCTATCTATCTCGGTTTTTCACTATCTATCTATCTATCTATCTATCTATATATATATATATATATATATATATATATATCAGTCTTTTCATTATCTATCTATCTCGGTTTTTTCATTATCTATCTATCTATCTATCTATCTATCTATCTATCTATCTATCTATTATGGTCCGGTTCCTTGTACAACGGTGATTATCCAAGGTAGAACCAATAAAGAAGAAGTCGAATACGGATATGGAATAACACAGATATATTACAAACAGGAATATATACAGAGAAGTAGAATGTGTTAGGACGAACAATCAGGTTTAGTAGTAATTGTCTGAACGTGACTCTGTTTCGGACTGCCTCTGACTCGACT